AAATGCATACAACATGATTACCTCTAATTAACAAATAAATAAGTAAATTGAAGGTCAGAGCAGTTCCCTAATTGTCCATTATTAATTAATGTGAATTACTTTAAAAAACTGAAGTAACTGCCAGTTAAGCAGTGCCCTCTGTGTCCAAAATTACAAAATTCCCTATACTAGTAGTATTCAGCTTGATCACGACTGAAATACTTGTAGATTTACAATGCTGACCTTGAAAAAACAATAAATTGCATATGTAAGTGGTCTGATGCTTCTAGCAGCTTTCAACAGTTTAGTTCAGTCACCGCATGTATTTACACACGTTATATAGAGGTCGCATGCAATACACAACGAACACGAGTAGTAACAATTTTTCACTTCCGGTTCGGTTACTCTTAGATCGGCCACGAATATTTAGTTTTGAGATATAAGTTTTGGTATGTGTTGGTTCTTCAAGTTGGATATTTCAGCCTCGTCGTCCTGCATTTCATGTAACAATTCTGACTTTCCAAACTGCGTAAAAACGGATAGTTTAGCGGTTTTAACACGGAAAATGCTTGGCTTAAATCATTTGCTGAAGGACGGCCGATTAGGTATGTGCAGCAACAGAACCTAAATTAGCATAACAATGTTTTTTTACCTTTGTCCCATTTTTAGTTATCCTCCACTAATCCCATATCACAGACAACTAGAACATTGAAACGTTTGTCGTGAAAATCACGTGCATTAATTGCGTTTTTTAAGTCACATGCCACAAATATTTAGAATCCCTCAAGTTTGTTTCAAAGACTGCCATCGCACCAGAGATAAACAGAACATTGAAATGCTTGTCGTGAAATTCACATGCATTATACTATAAATTGTGTTTTGAGTCCCTGAAATTTGTTTTTGACCTTTATCATTTACTCCTCCACCAGAGTGAATTACAACATTATTTGTTGTTACCCTGGATCCTGTAATCAAATGATACAAACAGTGTCACTGCCCAATTTTCGAACTGCATTTATTTTCGCTGTAACTTTACATTTACGAAACATTTATTCATGTCTTCTAAAAGTTTCCTAATTCTTTGCCCAGGCAGGTCGGAAAATACAGTGCGGTCGATTAAATAAGTAGGAAGTAGGGCAAAGTGAGTAATGTAGCTCAAGTGACGTTAGCGTATTTCTAATTTAGTTTTAACTCGCACAATATGTATTCACTCACTGTTTCTATAGCTAGAACGCTGTACTTGTCTTCACTTTCAGGTTAGATCTTCTGCCGATTTCTCGCAACCAACAACGTGATTTTTCATTTGGGATTTCGGGAATCTTAACATGAATCGTTATGGCATTCATACGCACAACACCTCACAATGTTACAACGTTTAAATTGTCAGTTAACAAAGTCTTTCATAGTAGCACTTCTATGGGATTGATGTACTAGAATGAATTGGTTTAATTATCAGTGTTCACTGATGACATCATTGACTGACCCTCTAGAGGCGAAATGACGCCGGGCAAAGCGGACTTTTGTCGTCTACTTCACAACCCGTTTTATACCCGATATTTAGGACATTTTGCAGCACATACAAGTTGTTTTTATCGACAGAATTCATAGATCTCAGATTTCATGTACATTTTAATAAAGGTCAGACCTCCCCTTTAAAAGTCACTGAAAACATTTTGAGAAATTTTGAGCAATAGTACTAGAGTTAAATATAAACGGCCTCTGCTTTCTCCATGAATTTCGTAACTTGCTACGTTCGGGGTAAAATAAACCTGCGGCTACTTTCTGATCAAAAACGTGTCTCAAGAAAACGTCTTTATATCAGTTTTTCGATTATTTTTTCAGCTCGTAACGATAGAATCAGTCAATTTAAAACTTTCATATATGCTATCGGAAATCATTTTGGCACAATTTTAGGCTACACCGATTTAATTTTATGGATGACATCCGCGCGCGCATTAGTTTTCGCCTGTTCTCAAAAAAAAAAAAAGAAAGAAAAATCTCCTACGACGAGTCTCCACAGATCGGTTTTCTGTCCGGAACTTGCCGACTCATATTGTCGCAAAGCGCCGACTTGTCGTAAAACTCGTTTTGAACTACCTCAAAATTTCGCTGGTTCCCGGCGTCCTTTGCGAATGGTAGGTAGGACGCAGGTAACTAGTAATCGCCATATTGTTCCATTTGGACCGGTTTTCCGGCCGGAAGGCACGTGACTGAGTGACGTAATTTGAAAACATTCCAAGTTCCGTTCTGCGTAAACATGTCTATAATACTACAATAAAGCCATGCTCAAACATACTGCCTGCTTAGATTTACACATTTGAGATGTTTCTGACATTTCTCGCTGTTTCTGTGAAAATTTATAACAAAAGAAACAGTTTTTTATTCACCCAACTTTCGAAAGTAAAAGGAAACCCCTGAACGGCCACGAGCGTAAGCGCTGCCGTTAGGTAACCAAGGGAAATAGAACAAGCAACGAGAAAATGACGGACCAATCAGAATGCCGGATTCATTACTAGTTACCGGCCTCTTGTGGCTTGGTACGCCATGACACTTGAGGCGGGAACCAGCCAACCTCAAAACCAAACTCCGCACAGTTAGATGCGCGTTACGTAAAGCGCAAAGACCTATGGGAAAGAGATTGCCTCAAATATGCAAATTTTGCCATAAATGATCCAACATGGCGACCACACCACCAAAATACGTTAGCATAAAGTTCAGAGGTGAAACGGAGGGATTGTT